CACGCGGGGCGTGACTTACCTGCTCTGGGGCAGTACCTGGGCTCAGAGGGGAGACTCTGGACAGGAGTGGATTGGCCAGGGACCCCCGACCCTCCAGCGAGGAGGAAACCCTGCCCCCCCCAGTAACGGGGAGATCCTTGTGCCTTGCTCCTAGGTCTCACTGGACTTTGTCAAGAGTGGGGACTACGCCCTGGAGAGGATGGGGGTCACCTATGCTGCCCAGGTCCACCTGAAGTCTCCCTTCGACCCCAACAACAAGAGGGTGAGGGGGATCTACTGAGGGGCCGCCCAGGGGCCAGCACCAGCCGCCCTGCTGCACCATCTACTGCTTCCTGCGTCCCAGGACCCTGGGCCCCAGCCAGACATGGACCTTCCCCACCCTCAACCCCCGGCCTGATAAAACCCCAAACCAGGAGGGAGAGACCAAGTGCCTGTCCTGTGCTCACTGCCCCAGATGGGCGTCTTCTCACCGACCCTCCCGGAACCTGGGCTCGGGGACCACTGGTTCTTCAGCCTTGGGCGATGCAGAGTCAAAGGAGGAGAGCCCACGCAGGCCCCGGAGGCCAGCTGGCTCACCTGGCCCCAGCAGCCTGGCCAGAGCACTGGGTTGCAGGGTGGGGGACCAGGGCAGAGAGGAGCAGCCGAGAGGTAGGTGCTGGTCCTGAGGCCAAGGCCATCGCGCAGGACGTTGCCTCTCAGATCAGGGACAAGGGGGGAGTCAGGCGCAGGTGGGGAGCTGCTGAGAGTCCCCCGCCTGAGACCTGGGTGGCCTGTGACACGTGGTCTCACATCAGCTCCCCGAGGCCCATGCAGAAGTGCCACCTCGGCCGCCCAGCCGTCACGGCAGGTCCACGCCGAGTGACAGCTGCCGGAATCCTGGCCTCCAGGGCCCCTGGTCCCTGCTGTGGACTCGGCCGTTCCTCGGTCTTCCTGCTCACCCACCCGGGAGGGGCCCGGCCCGAGCCCAGCCCCACACCATGTCGTGGGCTGGGGCCCCTCCCTGTCCCCTCCCCCAGGAGCCCCTCCACGCCTGCCGGGTGTCAGGAGTGACCCACCTTCCTGCAGGGTGGGCGCCCGGTCCCCTCCCTTCTCCTGGCAGCAGGTCTGTTGTGCAGAGGGTCCAGGCCTGGCCCCAGCAGAGCCCCCCGTGGTGCCCATGCTGTCCTGGGGTGTGCCTGTGGTTGTGGGGGGCGGTGCTCAGGGCATGGCAGGGCTGTCCCCCGACCCCCAGAGGCAGCACAGAGCACGGGGTGGGTCATCCTGGGCAGCGCCTGTGCCTTTGGACACTCACACTGAGCCGAGATGGCCAGGCACATAAAACTGAAGCCACAGAAGACTTGTGGGCTGTGGCCTCTGAAAAGCCCGTTTGGTGCCCTGAGTCTGGGGAGGGGCCGTGGCCTGGAGAGCACGGTGGGCCTCTGGCTCTCACACGAGCTGGGAGGAAGGAGCACCTGCGGCCTCCTGGATGAGCGAGGATCCCAGGAGCCAGAGGAAAGGGAGAGCCGGCTGCCCAGGTGGCTGGGCCTGCTTCCCGGGGCCTGCGGTTTGGCCGGGACCTCTGAGTTGGGCCTGTGACCACATCCATCTCTCGGCCTGTCCTTGGGAGAGGGCCCAGGATGAGGGAGGTCGGAGCAGGTCCAGGCCAGCTCGTCTGCCCTGGGCTGCAGCGGGAAACGCTTTCCTGGGCCTCCCCCTGTTCTGCCTCCTCCTAACAGAGAGGACCCTGGCCTCTGCCAGAGTGCTGGGTGGCCACCTGAGGGCGGCCATCACGAACCTCTTCCCAAGCTCACCTGCTCCATCTTCTGAAGGGTCCCTGCAGTGTCAGGGCCCCCGAGTGCCACTCCAGGTGAACTGCCAGGACCCACACCCTAGAGTGGGCTCCCAGCTCCGCCCCTGCGCTCAGCCCTCCTGGGCTCCAACCCAGAGACGCCTCATGTCATGACCCAGACGCCATGGGCCTCACCCCTCAGCTCCTTCAGGGTCTTGACAAAAGGTCACCTTCTCCACAAGGCAGTCCCTGATGGCCCTCTTAGAATGCCCCAGGCACCCCACCGCCCTCTCCTGGTGTGGTGGGTGCGGTACCCCTTTTCTCACCCTCTGTCTCCGGGCACTTTACCCATATTCCAGGCTGCGGGGAGGAGAGTTAGCCCAAGGGAAATGAGATCCCGGCTAGCGGGCCTGAGTGGGCAGCGTCGAGGACCGTGAGAGTCCTGGGCCAGGGTCCACCCACGGCCTCGGGGATGGGGGGGTCCTCCTTTAGGAGCAAAACGAGCTTGGGGCCCTTCTGGGGGTCCTGGGCCAAGGCCAGCCTCTCTGACGTCCAGAGACAGGAAGGAGTCGGGCTTCTAGTCTAGAACCTTCTGCCAAATGCCCCTAGTCCCCGCTGAGATCCTCCAGGAAGGGGAGGTCCTGGCCTGGACAGTGGGCTCCCTGCCGTGGGGGGCAGCCGGGGGGCGCAGGTGAGGGAGAGGCCAGGGCTCATGTCCAGGGGAAACCCAGCTGGGGCCTGTGGGACAGGCAGAGGTGGGCGCCCGGCGCCCCGCGGCTCAGATCCGCCCACTCAGCTGCTGGGGGGCAGCCAGGGACGGGGGTCTGTTGATGTGGGGGCTCAGGAGTCGGGCGGCCCATCTGCACAGGCACCTGGGAGCCTGTGGGCCGTTTCAGGGTCACAGTGGTGGGGTGTGCTGGGACCTTGCCTGGGGGCAGGGACCTCCTGCCTCCTGTGGACCATCCTCTGCCCAGGGCAGCAGCCGAGGGCCAYGAGTAGCTCCTGAGTCCTGACCCGTGGGAGCCCAAGGAAGAATCTGAGTGCCCAGCCTCGACCATTTAATCAGGAAATGAAGCCGAGGTAGCCACACCAGGCAGGGGTACCAGATAGCATCCCGGGGAACGCCGGACCTGCTCAGGCAGGCACCCTGCCCCAGCTGCAGTCGGGGGACACCCCGTGCTCACCACTGGGCCTCTCAACACCGGCCTGGCTGGTGCCCACAGCACCCCAGGACACTGGCACCTCCCAGGGGGCACTGTGTGACCCTAGCAGGCTGGTTCCCAGGAGGTACACACAAGGGGACACCCAACCCAGAGAGAGAAAGCAAGTGACCCAGGGCCACACAGAGGAGGTAAAAACGGGAAGCTGGGCTGCTGGACGCAGGGCTGGGCCTTTCCGTCACCTGATGATTCAGGAGGGGGTGAGCCTCTGGCTTGGAGCCTGTGGGAGGGACCCGGCCACAGCAGTCCCCACCCATGATGACAGAGCTTTCAGGTCCTGTGTTTAACCCCCATGYGGCCCCCCGGGGCTCCTGGTTCATGAATAAGGAAGTGGACGTCGGGCCGAGACGCAGGCGCCCTGTCCCCACACAGCCTGCTCCACTGGCATGGAGCAGGCTCCCTCCCGGGCCCACGCTCCCCTGCGGGACTTTGGCACCTGGATCCAGGTCTCTGCACCTGGTTTCCGAGCCGCCTGGGGGGCAGCAGTGTGCAGCCACAGCAGGCCCTGGCCCTGTGCTGCCCCAGGCTGCTCCGGCAGGAGGTCGGGAGGCGGGGATTGTGCGTCTGATGGTGTCTGAGGGGTYGGAAGCTCTAGGACCAGGTGGATCTGGCTGCAGTCCTCTGGGGACGTGGGGTCAAGCTGGCTCTGGCCCTTCTCTGCTGCCCCGTGAGGGAGGTAGTGTGGGGGCCACAGTGCTCTTGGGACTTGGAGGGCCAGGTGGCCCTGTGGCCCCGAGTGTCCGTCCCTTCACCAGCTCTGGGCTGTCTGGTGTTTGGGAGGCAGCCACCAGGCAGGTCCAGAGGGAGGGCCAGCCCCCGCGGGGAGGTGCCCCATATCTGTCACCCGGCTGTGAGACGACAGTGGCCCGCACAGCGGCCGAGCCGGCTCTCCGGGTGCTGCTGGGGCCTGGCATTCGGCAGCAGTTTCTCCCCACGACTTACGGCTGCCAGGAGCCGTGGTTTATCCCCGTGGTACAGACTCCCTGTAACGGAGTGCCCTGCGGAAGGCTGGCCGCTGCCGGCTGCTGTCTGTGGAGGGCCCCGCTGTCCATCGCCCGCCCTGCCCCCTGCCCTGCCCCCGCCGCAGAGTCTTGCTGGACTGACTGACTGGACAGAGCAGCATCTGTCACTCTCTCCAGGGACCTTCAAGGAGTTGAGTTTGACCTCAGATGGGGAGCTGCTCAGAGCAGTGGACACTGACCCCCACAGGGCCCAGCTCCCCCTCGCCCCAGGGAAAAGGCTTGGCTCCAATGGCGTGGCAGCCTTGGCACAGCGTCCCCACCCAGCCAGTGGTAACTGTTCACACCCTCTCCCTCGGCTGGCACGCCTTCCCCGCATTTGACAGACGAGGAGACAGAGGGTCAGACAGGTGCCAGGCCGGCCCAGGTCTCCCTGAGGGGGAGGCAGCTCTTTGGCAGCTCTGGTTCTGCTGCGCTCCCGGCTCCTTTTCCCCAGGGAGCCAACTCCAGGATGCCCGCCTGCCTGCCTGCGCCGTCTCCCTTCAGGGGGAGGAGGCAGTTCTTGGGCCTTCCCTTTAGGTGGGCGAAAATATCTGTTTACTCCACAGCGGAGCAATTTCCCCACGCAAGCCTCTAACTAGCTGATCGCCCGTCCTGCCCCTTGGCAGGGGAGCCGCCCGCTGGGACACAGGAGCCGCTCTGCAGGGCCATGTTTAGTAGAGCTGTCACTGTACACAGGGACGGGACCAGCAGGGCGGGGCCGCGGGTCGCAGGGGAGCCTGGCTGTCCCAGGAGGCAGCAGGACTTGTGGACCCCAGGCAAGGCCCCCGCGGGGCTCATCCCGACTGGGTCAGCAGGGGTGGACACAGCTGTGTCTACCCAGTCCAGGGCAGGTCAGCAGGGAGCCTCCGGGCCATGCAGGGGTCTGGGGGAGGAGGCTGGTGTGGCCCAGGTCTCAGGCAGGGGCTTGGTCCAGCCCCTTCACCTGGCACTCAGCACTGCACTGGGGGCTTCAAGCATGGGGATGGACAGGGCTGTGGGCCACTGGGGCACAGGGAGGAGGGTTGGAGGCCCCCTCTCAAGCTCTGCCACGGCCAATGTTGACCACCATGGGGCCAGCGGGGCTCTGGGCCCCACGGGTGGGGCAGTGCGGGGTGGGCTCTTCCAGGGTGGAGACGATCTCAGGCAGCGGCTGCAGGTCCCATTCCCCCTGCAAGGAAGGCACAGAGCAGGCTGAGGCTCAGGCGGGCAGGTGCCCAGCAGCTTCCTGTCTTACCCGCACACTCATCTCGACCCAGACTGGACTCCCCTTCCTCTAAGCTGCCCTTGGGGTGCCCACCTGGGTTGAATGCTTCCCCCATGCCCCATTGGGAGCCTAGGAGCCCCCAGACCCCCACGTAATCCCCACCCTAATGCAGCGCTCCAGCCCCATGCGGGCTCTGAGGTCCAGGCCTTGTTCCGAAGGAGGAGTGGCCGCGTCAGAGCGTTTTCTCCCGCCCTGCCGGCCAGCCCTGCCCAGGGTGCTGGATTATGTGATCTAGAAGTTAATCCAGCTCCCCAGCACCCCAGGAGAGGCCGGCTTCCCAGATGTCCTGGCGCCCAGCTCAGCATGGCCCTGGCCTCCCAGCCGGCAGCTTGGGCGCAGGCTGCTCGGCTGGGCATGAATTAGGTGCCGTTGGATCCCAGTGGGCCTCTGCTGAGGAACCTGCTTGGGCTGCAGACTGGGGTGTCTGCTTCCCCCGCCCCCAGCGCTGTATTTTTAAGCTCGTGGGAGGCTGCTGGTGCCCACTCACACCCCACATCAGCTGTCTCCCAGGGGCACCCTGCTCCCTGCTGTCTGTCCGTCCTTCTGGCCTGTCCCCTGGTAGTTTTCTCCGTCCCTCCTGAGAGTGCTTCAAGTCAGCTGTTTGGGGTGCGGGCCCCTCGCCCGCTGGGGCCCTCCTCGGGCCTGGGGAGACCTGGGCGCACGGTGTGGGCAGTGGCGGGTGCTGGTGGGCCTTGGAGGTGGAGAGGCCGGGGCTACCTGGAAGCGGACGGCCGAGGACTTGTTGCAATGCATGGAGATGGGCGCGAAGGCATAGAGTGCCCTCAGCACGTCGCGGCTGAAGGAGTTCCAGGGCACCGAGGCAAACTGCTGCGGGACGGTGGCCTGGGGGCAGGTGCAGACGTCCTCGCTGTTGAACCTGGCCGGGACAGTGCGGGAGATGACAGGGAGCCCGCAGGACGCAGGTGAGGCCCGCTGGTGGCCCCATGCCACCTGCTCCCCAGCCCAGTGTCCTGGCTCCTCCACTCTGGCAGTGGGCTTGCCCCTGGCCTGCACCAGCTGGTCGCAGCCAGGGGACTGACTAGTGATTCTGTCACTGTCACTGGCACCTCCTGAGTGCCAGCCTGCTCCAAGAACCAGCCTGGGTCCCGCAACGGTCCCAGGGGCAGAGTCAGGACACTCGCCTGTTCACCAGGTGGAAGTACTTCTGCAGGAAGCCAGGGTCCCCAGGACGGTCCCCAGCGGTCCTATAATGGTGCCTGGGGTCCCCAGGATGGTCCCCAGGGTCCCCGCAGCAGCCCCGGGGCATGCCGGCACTCGCCTGTTCACCAGGTGGAAGTACTTCTGCAGGAAGCCGGGGTCCACGGCGCTCTTGCACAGCTCCAGCTGGGTCTGGGGGTAGTAGTGCACATAGTTGACGCACATCTCCTCCAGGATCCCAAAGCCGCCCTGCAAGGCCAAGGAGACCCGTCAGCCTGGCTGTCACCCTGCCTGTGGTCCCCAGCAATTTCCCATGCACACTTGTGCCCGCATCTGCACCTGCTGGCAGCACAGTGTCGGGCAGCGCACCCCCACCCCATGGAACAGGGGACAAAGTCCCGCCCCACAGGCTCCCTTCCTTGGCAGGAGCAGGCGACCAACAAGCCCAGCAAGCATCAGTAAATCCACACTAGTGGTGACGGTGCCCTGATGAGGGGAACGAGGCCGGRGACAGGGCTGCTGTTATGCCCGTCCATGGCTGTAGGTAGCGGATCTCGGGGAGGACGAGGGGCAGCCCTGGGCTGGCAGCAGGATGGTGGCCAGGAGCTGTCCCTGGGGCCTCTAGCAAGGGCAGCAAGTAAGGAGCACCCTTCTCACCACCAACAGCCACTGGCCATCGGTCACTCCCACAGCTTGACTCTGACAGTGGCCAGAAGCCTCTCCTGGCCTCCAGCTGCCCAGCCCTCACCTGCACGACTCTGCCTCTGGACGCTCACTGTCCAGTGCACAAGGAGCTCCTGCCTAGAGGCACATGGTGTGAGGCTGCCTGGCACAGGACAGCCTGCCCCGTTAGGGCCGGGCCTCGTGAAGCCCAGCAGGTGGGACGTGTTGGAGCCACGCCAGCTGCTGATGTGAGGTACAGAGCCCTGCCCCAGAGCAGGCGGCTACCTCCAAGCCTCGGTGGGTGCCTGCAAAGCTCCCTGGCCTCTGAGCTGTGCCTGAACCCAGAGAAGTTGTCCCCAGATCCAGAGGGAGCAGGGAGGGTGTGGCAGGAGCAGCACAGCCTCAGGGCCCAGGTTAGACCCAGCAGACCTCAGTCCGTGACCCTGGGCCAGCGCCTTCCCGCTCTGGGCCTCTGTGGCTCCCAGGACGGAGCAGAGACTCCTGCTAAGTAAGGGTGGAGAGGACAAGGCCACCCACTGACGGACACATCACGGTGACGTGCCACCTCGTGGGAGCAGAGCATGGGCAAGCTGAGCTCTGTTGGATCCCAGTGCCCTGCAACATGGACAGAACTGGAAACTGCCCAGAGCAGGAGGCCAGGCCCAGAGGCCACGTGGTCCTAGGCCAGTTACGAGAACTGCCCAGATTGGCCACTCCAGAGGCAGAAGGCAAGTAGAGTAGCCGAGCTGGGCAGGGCCTGCAGGGTGACAGCTCAGGGTGAGTTTCTTCTGGGGTGGCGGGGGCCTCTAACATTGGCTGTGGGCATGGCTGGGGGTGTCGGGGGCTGTACCAAGGTCACTGGATCGGGGACCTATGTGAGCGAGTGGTGTGGCGGTGGATTACAGCTCCGTGATGCCATCAAAGACAGCTGTGACCTAGTCACAGAGATGGAATGACCGTGTGCTGCTGCATCAGGGTCAGGGGCAGAGTCGAGGGCTCAGGTGCCGGGTGGGATGCCACCCAGGTCTGGTCCCCTGAACCTCGGGACTCATGGATGAGTCCTGCCTGCTGCCATGTCAAGCCAGCCTGCTGGACCCACTGCCCCGCCTGCCCAGCACAGGCCACGTTCTCGCCTCCGTCTCACCTGGCCTTGAGGCGGTCCTTCCCATCAGCTGCTCCCCCTCCTCGGGCTGCCCACAGCCCCGCCAGAATGAGTCCTTCACATCCCTGCAGTGTCCAGTCACCCGTGCCCTCTGACGCCCGTCCATGCTTCTACCCTCCCCGGCCAACGCCCTCCACCCGTCTCCGTCCCCTGGGCCTTCCTGCACACGGCCTGCCCCCGGAGGCTGCCACCACCCTCTCCACCTTGCCACCTCCACCTTCTCTGGTCTCCGTTTGGTGCTGCTTTGGTGGCGAGGCTTCCGTGGCCCTAGCTCCCGGGCCACTCTCTGCTTTTCTGTTTCTACCATGATGCTGCGTGTCACTTAGGGCCAGTGGTTTGGTGCCCTGGTGGACTCGGCCCCACAGGGGCTCCTGGCTCCTCCCACACCCAGCCCAGTGCCGGGCACACAGGTGCCAACACACGGCCTCTGTGGGAGCTCTGAGTCGGCAGCCAGCGGAGCTTGTGCCGGGCAGAGCTGGCGCCACCACCACATTCCCCACTCAAAGGGGCTGGCGCGGCCGAGGTCTGCCCAGCTAACACACTGCCTGGGCTGCCGACGCCACGGCCTGGGACCAGACTGAGAATGGGGTTGATGGAAGGGGAGAGGGAGGGACCCGCTCCCTCTGGAGGAGGTGGGACTCGGCCAGGGGCAGTGTCAGGAAGCAGCTGGGAGTGGGGGACTTACCACGGTGGCCAGCTTCCTGTCCTCTGTGTTGTATGTGCAAGAAGTGATGAGCACGTCTCCCTGGAACAAGCCAGTGAGGGGTCAGCACCGCCAACTGGGGGCAGGCGCTGGGCCCACATGTGGCCCACCCCTGTGTGAGTCAGTGGGCCACTTGCCCACCACGAGGAAGCCCTGCACACGGGAGCACAATCTGAGTGTCCCTGTGGATGCCAGCCCTCAGGGGTGTGGTCAGGGCCTGGCTGTGGCTAGGGCCTGGCCCAGGGGCGTGCAGGTTGGCTGGTCACCTCACAGCCCAAGTCCCCACCTGGCCAGGGTTTGCCTTGGGTGCTACCAGCCGTCCTACCTCAATACCCTCACCTCTGCCTGAAAGCTGTGGACTTGGGGTTCTGCTGACCAGGCTGGAGGACACCCACCCCTCTGTGCCCTCAGTGTTCCTTTCTGAGGCCCTCTCTGCAGCACCCTGTGTCCCACCTGAGGTGGCCCAGGTCCCATGCTACCCATGGCGCCCTGCCCTGCCCTGTGGACTTCCCTTCCCCATCGCCGTCGGTCTCCCTCCTCCAGGGAAAACACCCCGCACCCCGGCCAGCCTGCCCGGGCACTCACCTGGTGGACAGACACAACCTTCTTCAACATGCGGATCTCCTGGCAGGGGAAGAAGGGGGCGTCAGAGGGCTGTGGCCCTCCTCCCGTCACCTCCCCCCGGGGGTCGGCTCTGATCCGGCCTCCCCAGGGCTGCCAGGCCTGGCTAAGTGTGGGCTCTGGTCAGCGGGTGAGGCTGGGGCCAGAAGGCAGCTGTCCAGGACGTGTCCCTCCCTGGTCCTGGTGGCATGTTCAGGCCCACGGCAGAGGCCCTCCCCAGACCAACACCAAGGGGCTGGGGAAGATGCCCCAGCCTGGCGGCCCTCAGCGGTCACGGGAGGAGGAGTGTCCCTACCTGGAAGTGAGGGCTGTAGTGATTGTCCCTGTTCACAATCTCTGTCTCCCGGCCGTCCCGGGCCAACACGGTGACCACCTTCCTCCCGGTCAGATGTGTGTGGAGTTGAGAGGCGAAGATGTGGACCCCCGAGGAAGGTAGGGCCTGCGGGCGGGAGGAGCGGTCAGGCRTGGCCCAGGCCCGACGGGGCAGGACGCGTTCTCGGCTTCCGTCTGGCTCTTCCTCTGGTCGGGTTGGTCTCCTGTCTTGCTGCCACTGGCCACTGTCCCTGCCCTTCGATCAGTGAGACCTGTGTGCTTGCAGTGCTGTGAGCACTGGGGACCCTCAGGGCCCACCGGGGACCCTTTGGCCTCCTGACCCTGTCCACTGGCTGGAGGTGCCGGTCTGTGCAGGTGCAGGAAGGAGCGTGCTTCCTGGGGATGGCGTCCCCACAGGGCACCTCTCGGCTTTTCTGCCTGACTACAGGTGTCTAGACCACAGGCTCTGACAGCCGGGCGTGTGGCCCCGGAGGGACAAGACACTCTGAGAGCGTCAGGAAGCCATCCACATAGACGTGATTTTCAAAAAGAGCTGGGTCACTTCCACCTGGACACTCTGGGAGAAGGCCGGTCTGCATTCCTGAGGCTGGACGGGTGGTCTCCAGGTCAGAGGGGTCCCAGGGACCTCAGCCCCCCACAGTGGGCAGGGCTGCGGGTCATTTTGCCCACTGAACTCTGAGGAGGTGAGGCCAGCCCGAGGCCAAAGAGCCTTCTACAGACAGGGAAAGGAATGTCCCCAACGGCGACCTTGGGGGTGGAAGACAGTATGCGAGACAGGGCAGGAAATCATTGTGACTGCCACTTCGAAGCTGGTGCCTCCCAGAGGCACAACCCTGGAGTCACCCAGACCTGCCTCCCACCTCACCCTGGGGCTGCTGGGGGCTCGGTCTCCCCCATTGTGAAGTGGGCACCAGGACACTTACCTGCCAGTCACTGGGAAGCAGAGTCCAATGTTTACAACAGACTGTGAAGTGGCACCCCGTTATCCAAAAGCCCCCAGAAACAGCGGTGGCAAGAGGCCAGGCCCGTGGGAGAAGCTGGGCCAAGCCTGGGAGCCCAGACTCCAAGAAAGAACAGAGGGCACAGGCCCAAGGAGGCCCAGCCCTGGGAGGCCCGGAGGGACGCTGAGTGGCACTGCCATGTCCGCCTCCCAGGTGGCCGGAAGACATTCAAGAGATCGACAACATGTCGGTTGGGCGTCTCCTATGTGGGCCAAAGCCTGGGGAGGGGCTTTCTGCAGCCCTTTGGAGATGCGTTCTGAGGGCAGGTGGAGTCTGACCTCTGACCCACGTTCCCCACACACAGAAATGTCCCTGCAGCTTCTCTGTGGGTGAGACGCGGGCCCAGCCCAGCCCAGGCCCAGGAAGGCAGGCGAGGGAGTCTGGGCCGGGCCTCGGGGCTGCTGCACTCACTGCAGCCTGTGCCCTGAGCCCGCAGAGCCCGGGGCATGCTGGGTGCCCTGCCGCCTCCCAGCCCCACTCTGGTCAGGTTCCTAGAGAGGCCTCCCACTGGGGGCCGGGGTGTTACCCAGAGGCTGAAGGCGAGTCCCAGGACTCAATCACCCAGCAATCCATAAACTACTGTCAACTTCTCAACGCGGCGTTATGTTTTTTCCTGTCTTTTTTTTGGTGCTGGGGATTGAACCACCCAGGGGCGCTGAACCACCCAGCCACAACCCAGCCCTTTTTATTCTGTATTTTGAGACAGGCTCTTGCCAAGTTGCTTAGAGACTTGCTAAATTGCTGAGGCTGGCTTTGAACTTGTGATCCTCCTGCCTCAGCCTCCTGAGCCGCTGGAATCAATGTTTTTTAAATGTAAAACAAGACTGTACATTCCCGTGACCTCTGAGGGTGTGAGCCAACATGTAAGAGAAGGCCCCGGAGGGCACGAGGAGCGGTGAGGGCATCTCGGGAAGGGTGCAGAGAGCTCGTCCTTGGGGACATCACCTGCGTTCCTGGTGGTGAGTGTGTGGGGGCCTCCTCATGAAAGGAAAGCACACTTTAAAGTGCAGGTCATGGAAGCTGGGCATGCGGGCACCTAGGCATGTGGGCACCTGGACCTGGGTGCTTGGGCAGAGCCCCATCAGTGCTGGGGAGGCAGATGCAGATGCACCAACACCCTGGGGATCTGGGAACCTGGGTACCCGGCCGCCCACCCTGGCCACCCTGCTGGCCCCACTCACCAGCTGGGTGCACTTGTCTGTGCAGTAGCCGGTCAGGACGAAGGCCGTCTCTTTCGGGGGGATGGCCATCACGGGTGTGTACACTAGGCCCAGCTCCATGATCCCTGCGTCAAAGCGCCGCAGCGTGGCTGTGTAGTAGAGCCGGATGCCYGAGGAGTCGCGCCGGCCTAGGAGAAGGGGAACACGGTTGGCAGAGGCCTCTCAGCAGCCCTGGGCACAGATCACCCTTAGGACCCCAGCTGCCCTTAGGAGAGCCACACCTCACGCCTGCTGACCCTGCCCGACCTGCCAAGAGCCCAGCCTTTGTTCCCACTCCTGTGGACCCAGGGTCCCAGTGCACACGTGGGACACCATGTGCAAACAGCTCGTCACTGTGCTCCGGGGTGACGGCTGGCCGGGGGGTCCTGAGCAGGAGCCTGGGCCGGGGCGGGACTGCCGTGAGTCCACGTGTGCCTCCAGCCTCACTCGGTCCACAGGGCTCACAGTCGGAACCTCTTCCCAAGTAGACCTTGTGTCTCCTGATTGCTTTGCCTGCACCTGGGGGTCCTCTGAGGTTTGGCGAGTCCCTGGACTCCCTGGGAAGGGGTTGGTGGGCAGGGGTCTGGGATGCTAGATCCACAGGAGCAGCCACATAGCCACAAGTCCTGCAGCAGCCCTCACCCCCTCCCAGGGTGCCACGCTGGGCAAGTTGGACAGTGAAGGGCCTTGACCTGGGGCTGCACGGGTGGGTGGCCAGACCACTCCCCTGGACACTGGTAGGAACAGAAATGGGCAGGAGAGGCCCCAGGGCTTGGTGCCCCTTGGTGTGTGGGAAAGGGGTGTGGACGGGGTGCTCTGTGTCACGGGACACGTCTCTCAATGAGCATGCAGCCACGTAGGAAGTTCCAGTCACGGGAGAGGCCAGTGGACAGCCTCAGCCTGGTGGACAGCCTTAGCCCCCAGGGGCATCCCTGGGCAGGCAGTGGCCTCACCTCTCAGCCTTCTGCTGGTCCCTGTGCAGATGCACTTCTGGGTGGGAGAAAGCAGGACAGAGGGGTGCAGGGCCACTGTCTCCCAGGCCAGGCACTGTCCTCACTGTCCTGTCACTGGTCAGAGTCACTGTCCCCACGTGCACGTGAGGAGACAGGATGGATCCTGAATGGGAGGCCCTGGCGGGGCTGGGACCAGAGCCCGGGCTGGCTGCAGGGCAGGTGTTGGGGACCAGTCCCTGCTCCCAGCTCCCTGGGGAAGCCAGGGCCCCCCTCCAGTCCCTTCCTCCCTCCCGCCCGCCCCCAGCCAGACTCAAACCGCTCCTGCGTCTGTGCCCGAGCCCATCAGAGGATAATAACACAAAGGGGGAGGGGGTGGGTTAAAATTCAGATGGGGATTAAATAATGAGATAATTTGGGGATTTTGATATTTATAGAAAAAGCAGCCCATCTCCAGATTTACAGGGTGACAGGAACATCCTTATGTTGGCAAAGGATCCATAAATACCACCCGATAATCAGGAGGAGACAGACTTCCCTGATGCTCAAGGAGTTTTTGAAAATCCATTTGCTTTCAGGTTTTAAATGAGCAATAAATCCCGTATCATGCTAAGGCCTGAGCCGCGTGTCTGCTCTGTGCACGCCGCAGATAGCGCAGCGGGGGCAGAGAGCCCTGCGTGTGCAGCTGGGAGCACTGGGTGCACGGACGTCCCCCAGCCTCACAGCCCTCATCCATCAGGGTATTTCTGTTCCTCACTGGCACAAATGACAATAAGTGTCATTCAGAGAGAAAGAGAGCGGAGAGAGGGAAAGGAACTACATGTGGTGGATGATGCTGGTACGACAGGGAGAAGGAAATCTGCTCAGCTTCTGATATGGTGTCCAGGGTATTCCCATCCTAGGGGTCAACTCTGGCTGCTCCACCTTCAGGCACAGGGCGGTTAGGCAGATCCCACCCTCTGCCCCAGCTCGGCTCTGAGCCAGGCTGGACCAGCTGTGTTCCCCCCATGCTCTGTTTAGCAGTCTCCCTGTCAATGACAGACCCTTCCCTCTCTGGAATGCAGCCCTTGGCTGCTTCCCGTAAGGAGATTCTCCGCATAAAGCCAGGCCCGTATTAGACACCATAAAGCCTCCCCCGCACGTGGACCTCATCCTCGTGGGCTTCCTCGCACTTGGCTCGTGCCTCCCCGCTGCGTGGGCCCGTGTGCCTGTCTCATCTCCTTCTGGAAGCTCCTGGAGAGTGTCCTCCTTTCCTGAGGTTCCTCTCCGAGTCTGAAACAGCCCCTTGTGCACGTGGGGCCCTCCGCATCGTCTGCTTCTTCTAGGCACGCACCCCGTGGGTGAAGCAGGAAGGAGGCAGAGGTGCGTGGTCCCGCCCACACGGTTCCGGGCCAGTCTGGACAACGTGGGTCTCGGCCGGGACGTGAGCTGGGAAAGGACCTCAATCCCCTGCCGTCACTTCCTCGCGGGATGACCAGGGCAAGTCCTCCTCCCTTCTCAGGTCCACCCTACAAGTTGGAGGATGCGATCCCACCCAGACTACCTCCCCGGGGGACCACGAGGACTTGGCCTCTGAGTGTCGAGGTGCTGAGAAGCTCAACAGCACCAACTGAGCTGCCCCCACTGTGTCCTGCTACCAAACCTATGCCGCCCTCTGGGCCAGGAGCAGAACCCCAGGCTGGGAGCCCCTGCCTGCCAAAGGCAGTGGGGAGCCTTCCAGCCAGCCCCGTCGGCCCTCCCTGGTGTGTGCGCACGTGGACAGGCGCTCCCTGCCTGCTCACACCCTCGACAGCTCTGCCTCCCGTGTGTTTTGAGAAGCACAATCAGAAAGGCCCCCAGGGACCAGGACCCTGCCCTGGGGACAGCCCTGGAGGCAGTGTCTCCCAGCAGTCAGGGGCAATTACAGGGTTCTGGCGGGGACCACTGCCGACCCTGGAATGTCCTGTCACCCTGCCATGGCCAGGTGCCCTGTTTTGGCCCAGCCTGTTCTAGAGAGGCCAAGGCCATAGCCTGTGGGTACCAGCAGGACCTCAGTCACAGTGGTGGTCAGGGATGGGGGAGCTKATGGTCTGAGCTGCCTCTAACCTCAAGAAGGTGGACTTCCAGGGAACCTCCACCCAGGCCCCGACCTGCTGCCCCTGAATGCTGGACTAGTGCTGACACCCCAAACTAGCCTCTGGCTCTGCTGTGGAGCAAGGAGAGGGTCTGTGTCGGCCTGGCTGCCCCCACCCTGGCATCCCAGTGACCCGCTGTCCGGAGGCAGCCTGGGAACCAGGCTGGCCTCGAGGCTGTGTGGCCAGGGCTGGGGCATGGACTAGACCTCTTGTCCTCTGGTCCTGCTCGCTGCCCCCTAGTCCTTGCATCTAGAATCCTTGGTTTCCTCATCTACACAGTGGAGATGAAGACACCTCCCAGCCTGGGCATCTGGAATGTGCCATCTGGAGGGCACAGGGCCCGGGGCAGGGCTGCCACGTGGGGCAACAGGCCCCCCAGCTGGGGGGCCTTGGGGCGGGTGCCTCTAGGAGCATGCTGCTCATGCCACAAACACTTTGTCTGGGCTGGACGCACGGCCAGCCCCAGTGCTCAGGGGGGGGCCGAGCAGGCCTGCAGACGCCCTCCGCTCCTACCTGGGATCTTCAGCGGGTTGTGGTAGTGGACCTCGAGGCGGAGGTACCTGGAGGACCCGGGGCCCCCAAACGCAAGGCCAGCTTCCTCGGGGTAGTAGAACGCCTGTGGGGAGGGGGACAGTCAGACGGAGGAGGAGGACCCACAGCGGGGCAGCCCTGCTGAGGTGCTGGGGTCTGAGCTGGGGCATGGTGTGGCCGGACCCTAGGTTAGGGTGACCCTCACCTGCTGCCATCGACATCCCACGGGGACCTGCCAGGCTCTGGACTGACAAAGGCAGACCCCACTTGCCTCCAGCCACCCTGGGGCCACTCTGTGCCCACACCCCGAACTCCAGGGGAAGCAACTCAGGTCCCAGGTTGACGGAGCAGGGAAAAGTGCCTGGGGCCGGAGGAAGCCCCAGCCCCTGAGGAACGAGGGCTCAGGCCTCCTATGGGCACCGGGGGCTGCTTGGGGCTCAGCCACCCGTGGCCTCAGGAGCACCCAACAGCCCCCTTCTTGGGGTCTTTGGGGCAGCAGCACTGGGAAGCCCAGGTGCAGGGAGCAGGATCCAGCCCGGGGAGGACGGGCTGCTGGGCGTGGGCCCCTCACCTTCGCGCCCAGGGCCCAGGCGGCCAGCACGTGGCGGCAGTAGCTGAGGCGCTGGGGCTTCATCTTGGAGTCGCAGGGCCCGCTGAAGTGGGGGAAGCTCTCGAAGGTGGCCGCGCACTGGAAGACCTCCATGTGGTGCACCAGGGCCTCATTGCCCTCGGTGACGATGGGCTCGTACTGCAGACGGACAGGCCACCCTGAGCCCCCGGAGCCCAACACCTCCCACCCGCTCTCCCGCCCAATGGCCTCTGCGGGCCTCCACCTGCCCATCTGTGGAAGGCGAGGGAGGGGACAGCTCCCAGAGCCTCGTCCAGAGCCTGAGGAGGGAGCTGGAGGGAAGAGGGCTGGACCACAGGGACCGCTTCCTGACGGGGGACAGGAAAACTTTGTCCTCGTGTATGGGACAACGTCTGGGCGAGGACGCTGGCCATGCCGCTCCATGGGGAGTCAGGGTCCCCAGAGTAGGGCCTGCCCCCAGGCCCAGCTACACGGCCCGGCCACTCGTGCATGCGACTCTGGATGCCCCTCTCCAGGCTGCATTTCTTCCCCAGGTGACGATGTTTGTCACTGTTGTGAGGAAGCCCCGGCCACCCCACCAGGCCAACGGCCCACTGTGGATCGCTATGGTCATCACCGTGCTGAGTCCTTTGTAGAGCAACTGGGCTCTGAGCAAAGCGGCCCTGCCGTGGGTGAGGAGGTGGCCTGGCACAGAGAGAGCCGGATGGCAGCTCCCAACCCAGGGCAGATGCAGGAACCGAGACCCTGGTTTATTTGTTCCCGCCCGGGGAGGGGTGGGGTGATGGTGACAGGGGACCAGAGAGGATGACTACTGCTACAGGAGGTGAAGCCCAGGCCCCAGGCCCAGGCATTGGGAGGTCTGGCTTAGCAGGACGCGGCCCTCCAGGCTAGACTGCTGGGGCCTGGCCCCGGGGCAGAGCGGGCAGGACCCCACCTACCATGACGATGTGGTGCCGAGGGAAGCCCTGTGGCAGCTCGGTGATGTAGCACCAGTACGTGGTCTCCTCGCTGGGGATCAGGACGTCGGGGGCACGGATCTCCATCGTGCGTGTGTCCGCGGGCACCGCTGGGGTGGGGACCTCAGGCTTCAGGAGCTGCACCCGCTGCAGCCCCGTGTGCAGGCTTGAGATGTTGATGGCCTCCAGCGACTGGAACGGCTCCTCCAGGATCCCATATACCAAGTGGACAGTGCCATCCTGCAGCCCAGACAAGGCCCAGTCAATCGCCCACTCAGCCCCCAGAGTGGGCCCTTGGTCACCACAGGGGAGGCATGTCCCTGCCCAGCCACACTCACCAGGGGGCGTGCTTCACTCTGGGCTCTGCAGACGATAGGACCTTTGGGGCCCTGCCTGGCTCTAGCTGACCACCCCAGAACCTCCTGTCAGCACCAGGCATCAAATGCAGTGTGATTTCTACCCACGTGCTATCCACCTTCAGAGGTGAGGACAACTACTCACTTGTCCCTGTGAGGAATTAATGTGTGCAAAGGGACAAATAGAGAAGCAAAGAAGACAACAGGCAGAGGTTTGCCAGGTGATGTGGGCGTCTGCCCAGAAAAGCCCCAGGGATCTGCAGAGGGGGCCCTCAGGGAGGAGGTGGGCTGCAGCCAGCAAAGCGGGGAGAAGAGCCCCAGGTCACGTGTGGAGGTGGAGCTGAGGGACGTTTTGGTCAGCTGGTTTGGGTCTTGCTTTTGTGCTGTCCCCTCTTTCCATGCCCCTGTTTCTGCCTTGTGGGATGGGAATGTTCACTGGGTGCCTTTAAGTACTGGCTCCATGGAACTTGCCTTGGGTTTTTACAGGGGCTCATGCTGACAGTCTGCCTTGGGTCTCGGGGACACCTTGGACGTGGACTTGAGGTAATGCTGAAACTCTGAAGACTGGGGCGACTCTTGAAAGTGGACTAAATGCATTTTACATTGTGAGACAAGCGTGAGCTTTTGGGGGCCAAGGGTGGACTATTATGGTTTAGATATAAGGTGTCCTCGAAAAGCTCAAGTGGGAGACAGTTCAGGAAGCTCGGCGGTGGGATGGTCAGGAGGTGGGATGGTCAGGCGGTGGGGCCTCAACCCAGCCAGCGCATTAGTCCCCTGGTGGGGATAACCGGGGTGACTGTAGGCCACAGAGCGTGGCTGGAGGAGGTGGTCACTGGGGCTGTGCCTTTGGGGTTTATGTTTTATCCTTTTTGAGAGGGCCTCTCTCTCTCCCAATGTCTCTCGGCTTCTTGGTGGCCATGTCCTTACCTGCTTTTCCCTGCCAYCTCCTTCTGCCATGATGTCCTGCCTCACCTTGAGCCCCAAGGAATGGAGCTGGCTTCCTATGGACTGAGACCTCTAAAACCAAGAGCCCCAGATAACCTTCTCCCCCTAGTGTGTCTCATCAGGTCTCCTGGTCACAGCGTGCAACAGCCGACTAAAGCAGTCTGGGCTGCTGCCAGGTCCAGCCGGCCCTTGCCCGGCCCTCTCCTGGCTCCTGCTTCTGCCTTTACCAGGCCTGATGCTCCCCACAGGCCAGCACGCCGTCCTGGCCCCTTCCCCAGGAACTGCAGGAACATCTCCCTCGCTAGGGCACTAGCGGCCCCTCTGTAAATCAAGACCTGGGCACAAACTGCCAGCCGTCTCCCCCGCCCCCATGCTGAAGGATTCACAGGATGGTGGATGTCGGAGTGGACCAGCAAGTCAAAGGGTCTTGTCTTCCAGGGCAAGGGGGACTGCCTTTATCTGACGGGGGCTCTTGGAGCAATGTAAGGAACACACAGTATTTGAGATCTGTGTCCTGGCCCTGGACTCTTGGCCAGGTCTGATGTGGTCACACTGTCCCCATCCCTTTCACACATGGGCAAATGGAGGTCTGGTGGAGAAAGGGCCTGCCTGAGTCCACAACATGCTGTCAACAGGGCGGGTTGGAAAGCCAGGTTTCCTGGGCCTTTCCCAGAATCCCACCTGACATCGATGGGCCAGGGAGAAATCCCTGGTGCATGATCTAGTCTCTACGAGAGCTCTGTGGGAAGACCCGAGTCCAGAAAGCACGTTGCTATGTGTCCCCAAAGAGCTACTTCTTTGAGGGTTCTGGAGCTGCCAGCAGAGCAGGACCCTCCCACACTGCTTTGACCTACCCGGGGACTGGGGCCACCCGGCTGGCTTTCTGCAAAGCATGACAGCCCAGGCCCCAGACTTCGCAGGAGGAGACCTGGCAGCCCGATCCTGGGATGCAGATGTGGTCCTGCAGCCCACACCCTCCTGGGCTAGGGCCTCCCTACCTCAATGAGGTAGTCCTTGGGGTCACAGGTGGCAAAGGGTCTCTTGAAGAGCAGGACCAGGCCGTCCGGGGTGCCCTGTGCCTGCAGCAGCTGATAGTCCTGCTGGTTGTCCAGATGGATCCGCCCCTTCTGGTCACTCCAAGCGTCCTGCGGAAACAGGCTCAGGCTGAGCAGGAAGGAGCCCATCGGCTGGGCAGAGAGCAGCCCGCTGCCCTCCCTGGCAGATCCAAGGGACACAGCAGCAGGGCTGGGGAGCCTCTGGGCCCCGCTCCCCACTCACTCCCTTTGGGGGCCTCATCCACTTTCTTTCTCCTTTTTTTAAAATGATTCTGTGGGTCACATCCGGGGCCTCAGGCCTGCTGGGCAAGTGCTCTACCACTCAGTCACACCCCTGGTCCCCACGACCACTTTCTAAATCTACTTCTGCCTGGGGACATTAGGGCTGAGYCCCACTCCACCCTCTTCCTCTTTCCTCTGTGGCCCTGAATCTGGGTTATCAAATGCCACCCTGGGAATCAGGTTCCTGGACCCTGGGGTGAGACCCAGGAATCTGCCTTGTTAAGAAAGTGCCTGAGGCTTCCCCCAGGGCACAGGCCACCTCCCACTGCTCTAGAAGGGGCGGGTCATGGGGCCCAGGAGGAGAGAGACAGATGGGGAGGAAGAGGGGGACCAGGTGCAGCATTTAAGGTGGCACTCATTCCAGGTGCCCCTCGACTCAGGCAAGCAGGAGAGCAGGTGCCACCTCAAATACTGCACCCGAGGCATCTCTCACTTCACCCATGCCCACCCAGCCTGGCCTGGAGAGGGTGAACTGAGGCCCAGGGGGAAGGGGAACCTGGATCACTGGCCCCGTCTCCCTCCCTCATTGCTCCCCTGGCCCTGGAGGGCTCAGGGACACATCATGGGCTCCAGGCCAGAGCAGGGGACAGCAGTGCACCAGGGGAGAACCTTCCCCAGCAAGCAGGTCTCTCTGGATTCAAGAAGGCCATGGGCCCCTGCCAGAAGGAGTTGGTTGTGTTTCTTTTTAATCCTGCATCCGGGGCTACAGCGTGTTTCTTCATTTCCTTGAGAGGAAGGAAGGAAGGAAGGAAGGAAGGAAGGAAGGAAGGAAGGAAGGAAGGAAGGAAGGAAGGAAGGAAGGGAGGGAGAGAGGGAGGGAAGGGAGGGAGAGAGGGAGGGAAGGGAGGGAGGGAGGGAGAAGGACAGACTTTGCAGTTTTTCCTAAAGGACAGCAGCAGAGTGAAGCCCCTGCGTGGGGCCCTGTCACCTGCAGGAGGACCTGCTTGACCTGGGCAGAGGCTGGAAATGTAGAATATACCAGGTGAACAGGTTGCTGCGGGAGGAGCCCGAGTCTCACATCCGCTTTCATACGAATTTGTTGTGCTGATGAACCTGGTGGTGCACAGAAAGGGGAGGCTCCTGGTCCCCCATAGCTGGGAAACGCGGCAGGTGTGGCTCCTGGAGAAAGGAGCCCTGCGCCCAGATCCAGGACAAACTGTAAGCAGCAGGGCTCAGCTGCTCCCCTAGAGGGCTTGTGGCTCAGGGTGGGCTGTGACCCAGGCCACCATGCAGCTCAGCTCTACCCTGAGGAAATGGCTCCAGCTGGCCTCACCTGGGAAGTGGCCAGTGTGTGTGGCTGGCCAGCAGGCCGGGCTGCAGGAATGCACGGGGTGAGCCCCCCCCAGGGGTGTTGGTCAGCAGCTCCTGTGACCCACCCATGGAGGATGAGCCTCCCCCAGCTCCTGTCCCAAGCAGGAGCTGGCTGTGCAGCTCAGATCCAGGCAGGGCCCCCCCACCCTGTGCTCTGACCCCTGTGCCGAGGTCCTGGAGCCAGCTGGGCTTATCTGCAGGTCCTGGTGGCCAGTCCCGTCCTCTGGCAGCCCCCCTCCCCCTTCCTCTGGAGACCCCTGCAGCCTATTGGGGCCCCAATGGCCACTTCAGTTTGAAGGAGGGTTGTCCCCTTCTGCCACACTTGAAGGCAAGAGTAGAGGTGACTTTTGAATGGATGGGGCCATGAACCCGTCCCAACAGCCTGAGCTTGGCTGGCTGGGCTGGTTCCCCACTGGGAGTGGGGATGGTGTCCGCTCCCGTTCTGACACCCCATGTGCGGCTCAGGCCACCGGCTGTGCTACCACAGGCCACCACGTGGGCCCGGCCCCTGTGTGGGGTGTGCTCAGGTGTGGTGTAGGCGTGGGGCTGTGCTCACAGGTGGGGTGGCGATGGCACGTGACTCCTCCAGCTGCAGTTACCTCCTTGGGATTGCTACACCCCATATTTGGAGTGAGCAGCCAAGGGCCATAGAGAGCATCTCTTTCCCATTTTATCCTGAAGTCAGTGTCCCCACGCGACGCCTAAGCAGGGGACACAGACCCACCCAGACCAGAGTGAGCCCAAGGGCAGAGAGGCAGTGGGGAGCCTTCCTCTGCTGGACCAAGGAGGGGGAGCCAGGAGGAAGGTCGGGGGCGCTGGGGAGGGGAGGGGTCCGAACGCCAGGAGGGAGGAGACCTACCGCAAAGTAGGAGCGGCCCCCATCTGTCCAGAGCACGACGAGGTCAGCGTTCTCTAGCTCCCCGCGGTCCGACATCCCGAACAGGACCCCAGCCTTGAGCCCCCGCACCAGGAGCTGGAAGTGGACATCCTCCTGGACGTAGCTGACGTTCCATGAGAGCTCCAGGGTCCCCTCGGGGTCCAGGGGGATGTGGTAGGGAAAGGGGCTCTCTGGGGGCACTGAGCCCTGCAGAGCGGCCACCAGGATGACCAGAAAGATGGCCACCGCTGTGCCGTACATGGAGGCAGCCTCGCGCATGTTGGGGCCGGGAATGCTGGCCCAGCGACACCGACGGCTGGTGGCCTGCATGGCTGGGGAGAGCTTGCAGCCCACCTGGCCATTTATGCCCTGGCCCTGTGGGGGTGGGCCCAGGCTGCACCCGTAATCACATTTGTCTGGTGGGAATTCAATTGTCCTGATGGCCCTGCCACCAACCTGTGCCCCAGGCCAAAAGCTTTGCCTCCACAATCCCCTAATTGGCGCTAATGACACATGGACATCATCAGTGGGAATCGAAGCTGACCAGCTGATGTTCTTCTGAATCGTCTCTGAAGAACTGTCCAGGAAGCAGCTCCTCCCTACGGCCATAGGCCTTGGACACCCTTTGGCTGGGCACTGCTGACCACCTTGCGGGCTGTCTGGTCCCATCCCCACCCTGAACAAGCAGGCGGAGGTGACCTGTGATTGACAAGCCCCTGGCTGCCGTGGCCTGGCCCAGTGGAATACAGGTTCCTCCAGTCCTGTGGGGTGGGCCGATTCCAAACTAAAAATAAGACAGTCCCCAAATAGTCTGTGTTTGGGCGCGCTGTGGGCCGGCTGTCCCCGCTTCTGTCTCCTTGTTTCCCCACCGGCTCCAGCTGGCAACAGGGCTGCTCAGGAGGGGGTGCTCCCTGGAGGCAGGTTGGCCTGGGGTGTGGTGCTGGGGAGGCAGCCCAGGTGCATCTCTGAGGCAGATGGAGAGGGGACGCCTGGGGGATGGGCGGACAGCAGGGGACAGCAAAGGAGGGTGAGGGACAGATCTGCTCCCCGTCTCTGGACCTTCCAACCCACGCCTTTCTCTTGCCCAGAGCAAACCTGGCCTGAATTTGCCCCCGTTCAGGCCAGCTGACTCTTTCCCATGCCAACCACAGAGCCCTGTGCAGATCTGCCCAGGCCCCAAGTGTCAGCCTCCCCACTGCCCTGGCTCAGTCCCGTCCCTCTCGAGCAGAGTAGATGGGCACACACTGTCACTCCAGGGAGTTCTGCTTAACCAGCTGCCGCCCTGCCCCCTGCACTGGGCTGGGGAGGTGGGTGTCTCCAAAGGGCCATGAGCGCCCCTCCCTCACTTCCTCCCCTCCSGTTTCTCCTCTTTGGAGAAGCAAAGAATCCTTCCTTAGGGACACATTGATATCATGGCCCCTAACTTTAAGTCCTCAAATATTCCCCAGGGTGAATCCAGTTGTGCCATGAGCTCATGTTCTTGAACGCACGTCAAATTTAGAGAAAGTTCTAGACTTCCCCTAGGAACACTGTGGGGAACTGTGGGGCACAGGCACGGTGAGGTGGGGCGCGGCCTCCTGGGGCAGGCAGGTGCCCTTCTGCACAGGAAGTGGGAGCTCCAGCCCAGCTCACCGTCAGCCCTTAGGCCATCTATCTCATGGGCAGCGAGGCGGCCCTCCTGGGCCCCAGCTGGGCCCTCTTGGAGAGGAATTTCTAGCCAGAGCCTCTGCCCGCTTGGAGGTGAGGAAGTTGAGCATCAAGGATCACGGTTCCCTCCGGCTCCCTCCAACCCAGCCAGGTGGAGCACGGGCCTGATACCAGATCAACGGTTGCCGAGCTCAGGAGGGAAGTCTCGTGCAGCGCGGCTCTTAGTAAACAGCAGAGTGCCGCGCACACATTTATTTTTAACAGGATTCAAAAGCATTCTTTCTCCAGCTCAGAACCGGGTTGACAGAAATGATTCAGCTGATTTCAGAAGTAACAATTATCAAGTCCCCGTAATTAGCAGGAAGCAGGGACCGGGCCTGCACGGCTGTGCTTCATCCTCACTGGCCTCAGGAGCCTGGTTCTGTGACTGTCCCCATCTGACACACAAGGAGGTGGACCCTAAGAAAAGGGAGCTATGCACCTGGGTCACACAGCTATCAGCGGCAGGGCAGGGCAGTCCTGGTGCCCATGCCCAGGACCCCAAGGCAGTGGCTCTGAGCAGGAGGGGGCTGTGCGCCTCGGCCGCCAAGGTCAGAAGAATTCTGCTGGAGTCAGGAGGAGGGAGGCCAGAAGTGCAGCCTCGGGGAAAAGCAGCCACCCTCCACCTGCACTGCCCTTCCTGCTCCGGGGACCTTGACGAGGAGCAACCTGACCTGGGAGGAAACAGCTCCTGCGGCCTGTCCACATCCCCCACCTGCCTGCCCCAGGGACCCCTGGTCCTGCCCCAGTGGGGGTCCTCCCCTGCCTCCCCCACCCTGCGGCCGCCCAGCAGCTGCTGCAGTTGGTCAGGAGCAAGTTGCCCTCAAGGGCGGGATGGGTTGGGGATGGGTTGGGGGTGGCACCCAGGGTGTCACTGTCACCACGTCAGGGAGTAAACCCTGCTTGCTGCTGCTCAGCGCCTGGCTCCCCTCCGCGGTGCATCAACGGCTGACCTCATTTAGAACCAATTTCAGCGTCTTAATAAGCCCTTGCTGTTCCCTCTGATGCTGCTGGCCTGCGAGCTGTAATCCCCACCGACTGTGCCACGTGAGGCCGGCTGCGGCTGCCTTCCCAACTGTGGGCGGCGAGAACCGCGGTGGAGGGCTGGGTGGGGAGCCGAGCCAGGCAGGCCCAACAGCCCGCTCCCAGCAGCAGCAGCCAGGACGGCATCCCCCACTCACAGGAACCCCCCCCCCCGCAGGACAAAGAGACACGGGAGCTTAGGGCAGCGCCTCTCCCTCAGGACTGGCTGTGTCCCTTTGTCCTGTGCACAGTGGCCAGTGGCCATGCTGTGAAAGAAACAGGAAGCATGTCCAAGGGGGCTGCCAGGATGAGGCGGTGCCCCTCACAAATGCTGGTGGCCTGAGGTGTGGACACACAGAACGTCCCACCGCCAGAGACTTAGGGGCCAGGGCACCCACTGGGCATAGTGGGCTTGGCAGGAGGGCCTGGGCCAGGGATGTGGGCAGTAGCACCTGGAGGGAAAGGGGACACTCACCCAGAGGAACTGGTGTTGTGGCCACTCCATGGGAACCAGCCTCTGCAGTTTCAGAGCCCACGGCGGGACCCAGGACCCCTGGGCCCCAGGGTCAGGGCGCCAGGCTGCCCTCCTGCCTGCGAGACCTCGACTCTGCTGTCCATGTGTGGGAGGCTGGAGCCCAGMATGTCCTCTGGCTTGGCCTTGTCTGTGTTTGAGGTCTGTGGGGGGACCACAGGGCAGGTGGACCTGAAGCCTGCACGGCTGTCCCCACAGCTCCTCTGACAGGTGGCCAGAGGCGGCTGGGGGAACACTGGCGCAGAGGCCTGCGGGGCCGGGGGACGCAGCAGAGCCGCGGGGCCTGCTCCCTGTGGTTCTCCATGAGGATGTCAGCGGCCCCTCTCCTGGGCTTGGGCGGCTGGGGGGAGGGGCGTGACGGCCTGTTGGGAGCCGCCACACTGCCAGGACGGGGAGAGGGGCTCGGGCCAGAGCTTCAAGCCACCCTCCACAGAGTGCAGCCAAGAGCACGGGGCGGAGGGACAAGCAGAGCCCTGCGGCCATCACCCCTCACCTGGCGTCCCCGCAGGGTGAGCTTCACTTCTCTGGTCTGTAGTTGTCAGTTTTCACCACTGTGACCGGAAGATGAGACAAGAACAATTTTAGAGGAGGGAAACTTTACTTGGGCTCGCGGTTCCAGAGGTTCAGTCCGTGGTGGGCCGACTCCACTGCTCTGGGCCCAGATGAGGTGGACATCAGGGTGGAAGGGTGTGGTGGGGGAAAGCAGCTCAGGACGTGGAGCTCCACTCGCCAGGGGAAGACATGCACCCCCAGGCATGCCCCCAGGGACCCGCCTCCTCCAGCACAGCCCACCTGCCCTGTCACCTCCCAGGGAGTCCCCACCAGGGGGTTGGTGCACGGTGGGGTCAAGGCTCTCACCTTGCATGGTCTCCACCTGAGCCCTTGGGGGACACCTCCTATCCAGACCACGTCTAGGAAACGGGATCCTGCCAGCAGCTGCTGTTGACCAGGTGAGGCAGACAGGGGCCCGGGGTGGGGGCCTGGTGCTGCCAGCACCACTCCCAGCACCCAGGGCTGCCTCCCAGCCCCCACCAGCCTCTGTCAGCTCAGGCCACCTCTTCATGGCTGGAAGCTGTGAGGTGACCTTCAGGACAGCACCGAGCCTGTCCTTCCGAGTGCACCTCTGTCACTGTCACACTGCCAAACAGGGCAGGGGGCTGGAGGGCACCAGGGCCACCCGGAAACGTTACGATTGGCCTCCTCTGCTGGGTCTCCAGTGCACAGCGAGGCAGACAGGTGATGTCCCAGAGGTGACGCACAGCACAACGGGGGCTTTGCGGATGTGATTGACCGAGGACCAGATGTGGGACGAGATCCTGGCTTATCCCAGCAACCAGGTGAACCAAAGGATCCCTGAAAGATGGAGGTGGGTGGGCCAGAGCCAGAGGAGGGCACGTGAGGGTGGAAGCAGAGGTCAGAGGAGAGGGGACGCGCTGGCCTGGAGCAGGGGCCCAGGCCTCCCACGGGGCAGCCCTGCAGTGCCAGCCTGCTGCCTGGAGCACAGCCCAGCCCAGCCCAGGGGTGCAGGGGGTCTTGAGGCAGGCCAGGAGAGGCACGTGGGGAGGATTAACTGGGGGCCAGTGCTCCCAGCCCCCCACCCACCCCTCAGGTCCAGCATGGCCACCTGCTCTTCCCAGGACAGCAATGTGTGTTCTGGGTGTCCTCATGCACTGACCAACCAAGTCCCCACAGAGACCCCATGCATCGCCACATCCCAAACAAGAACAGTGCGACCCTTAGCATCCACCTGCAGGGGAGCGGATGGTGGCCGTGACCCCAGAACACCGTCGAGTGGCAGTGGGAAGGTGTTCCTGCACCAATGCGGGCGGAGGAGGAGGAGGGGGCAGCAAGGCCTCCGGAGCCCCTGGGCAGTTCCCTGCAGGACCTTCTAGCTCTGGTCACAGCCTGGGAGCAAGTGGGCAGGGGTCATGTGAACTGCTGGCCCAAGCTGCGAGTCCAATGAGGGCCCAGACCCAGCTCAGGGCTCTGGGCTGCACCACCCCGCCCAGCCCAGCAAGAGGATGTGGTCAGCTGAGCTTCACCTGGCCCTGGGCATGAGGCCTGGTACCACCCAGCCCAGATCCCCTGA